CAGCCCTGTGCCCGCCGAGCTAAGGCTCCAGGCCAGTCTGTCCGTGGGGGGGACGGGAATGCCTCGGGTTTGGGGACCTGTGGGAGGAGCTCTCCTCCAGCTGCACGGCGATGACAGAAACCTGCCGAGAGGGCCAGGGGACCGACACGCCCGGAGCCATGCTTAGCTCTGGGAGCCTGAGTCTGTATCGGGTGGCATTGCAACTTTCTCATTCAGGGCGGGGGCCCGGAATGTGCATTTCACACCAAGCGCTGGTCGCTGTGCTGGTTCAGGCGCCAGCTTCTGAGCAGAACTGCATCCGAAACCCAGGCGGGCTACGGCGGTGACGGTTAGAGGCACCGCTCACAGACGCCCGGAGGTGTTACCGGACAGCCCCCCGAGTCAGGGCTGTCCCAACCTCGATTCTTGTCTTCTCCTATAAATGAATTTATACGAGAGGCCTTGATTGCGTTGTGATGAAGCCAATTTTATTAAAGCAATGAATGCATGCACCTGTATTGAAGAAGCAAGGCAAGCAAATCTACACACCTGGCTTATGCAGCACAGACGGCTCTCAGCTGATCAGAAGAGTGACTTGGGTGGGGGTTTGAGGTGTTATGTACCCTCCTGTCTATAGGTTTCAGAATTCCTCTGCTGACTATTTTGGTACAGATTAATTCTTTTTATTTTGTTGTGGCCTTCCCAGATTTCATGAGAAGCACCTGGCAATTTAATCTTGCCAAGCATCAAGACAGCTGCCTTCTCTGCTTAGGGCAGTGGTTCTCAGCCTTGGCTGCACATTAGAATCACCTGGGAATCTTTTTAAAATCCTGATTTCTGGGCCTCATCCTCTGGAAATTCTGTTTTCTTTGTTATGGGGTGGGGCCACAACATTAGTAACAAAGAAACAGAATTTCCGGAGGATGAGGCCCAGAAATCAGGATTTTAAAAAGATTCCCAGGTGATTCTAATGTGCAGCCAAGGTTGAGAACCACTGGCTTAGGGAGTAAAATTGCCCTTTTTTTTCTCTTTCCCCTCCCCCCCCCCTCCCCTCCTTTCCTGCATTCTCTTGTTAGGGAGGCTTTTAACCATTTGCTCCCGAGTGTCTCTGCTGGGGAAGATAATGGTTTGTTATTTACAGGCTGACTGCAAATTGCCCACACTGTTTGGCCTTGTTTTAACGTTCCTGTCTCAGTTTCCCTATTCTACTTGCCCTGGAATTTTCCTAGCTCTTTACTGGCCTGTAACAAAGTCAGTGGTGTTGAAATAGGAATTTTTATGGGTGAAATAGACAGGTTTAGGGGATTTTTTTAAATTAAGGGGTCCATGGAAAAAAACACCTGACCACAGAATTACAAAAGGGTACATTTCCATAAGACAAGGGAAAGGCAGAAGTTACATTTCCATAATATAAGAGAACTGGGAGGAGCCAAAGGTCTATATTTACAAAATAAAGAAGGAGGGCTCACTACCTCTCATGTGAGGTTTGACCTTTGAGCTCAGGAGTTGCTGTAGTGACCAAATCAAAGGAGAATGGTGGCAAATCGCAGGGGATATCGAGGCACAAAAACTGCAGCCTTTATAAACCTGGGAAAAAGGAACTCGGTGGGAGTCTTTCCTCCTCCCACGTGGAAGTCTGTACTTGTTCTTCAATAAATTTCCATCTTTGCTATTCCATCTTCTGTCCATGGACAACGAACCTGGGGAAGCCATCCTGCCCAGGGGAACACCGCATGTTCCTATCCAAAAATCCCGTATCAGGGTCAATGTTTAAGAAATCCGCAGGCTTGGGAAAAGAAGCCAGAAACATGGAATGATCCATCAAGGGGCATCATCAAGGCTCACGTCTCCTTACGCTTTCAGAGTAAAGCCAGAACCCCTCCCCGCTTGCAAAGCATCTCTCTCCTTCACGGGCCAGTTCAGTGTCACCTCCTCCCAGCTTTCTGTCAACACCTTCCCTGCCAGACAGTTTACTCCCTGCTGTGTGTTCCCATTAGCATCTATTGCCAACCTCTAGCAGAGGATTCCAAAAATTGCCTTGTAGTTAGGACACAGCTCTCATTTCTCCTCAGGCTGTGAGCTTCCTGAGGACAGGGATAGTGACCTTCCTTTCTGCAGCCGCTGCATTTAAAGCAGAGGGCAGCACTCAGGCATGTTGATGGAAGTCCTTCAATGGGTTAGAACCAGGGTTCTAATGATGAGGTCCTGTGGAAGAACAAAGATGAGGACTTACAGGAACTTTAATATCACAATTTGTGGCCCACCATTTGGATTAGTGCAGTTTGAAATCTGAGGCTACTTCATAGCGCATAACTCTGCACCTTGGACTTAGAAACTGCCTGCAGAACCAGCGCCTCTCTGTGCTGTCGGAATTCAGTTGGTAAGTCCCCCAAAGCTTTCATTCTAGAACCCTGAACCAGAACTGGGACTTGACAGATGACTGATATGTTACCCGTTGTTCTCATCTCACAGCCCCCCTTGCTGACCACTGAGCCAGCTGTCCACCAATTAGAAAACACATAATGTGAGTTTGTGGTTTTGTTTCCCTTAGCAACCCATCTCTCTGCTACAAGTTATACCTTAAAAAAAAAAAAAACACACAAAAAAACTGTTCTCCCACTCCCACCTTGGCACATGTCTTCAGGTCATACTGTGGGCTAGTCCCTGCATTGCAAATCATATATGGGTAAAACACTCTTAATTTCTTTTGGAATTTTTGCTGACAAAGGAAATGACGCTCAGTAGCTGTTGCCCTCACTCTCCAGTCTCTGCAAAGACATGGGAGCAGCTTCACCCCTTGATGCAGTGTTAATGACTCCCCGGGACCACACCTGCACATGGGACCCCCAGTCTCCCCAGGTGGAGGGTCTCCTGGGAGAGAGGGGTCAGGGAATCCACTGAACATGCATGACCAACGGCAAAACCCCAGTTACCAATAAAGTAGGTGACGAGTTTCATTATTTAGTCTTTGACCCTCGAATGACCTAGGAGCTCAGTGGCACATTTCAACAAAAAGGTGAACCTTTCAGTCACTGCCTCTTGACAACCCTTAAAACAGACGTTTGTGTAATAAGCGTAAACGACATATTTCACAGCGACGATGAGGTTTTGAACTCTCAAAGGGACAGTAGACATGGCTAGGTGACTGCAGCAGGGAGAGGCCTGTCTTCTCATCAAGCATTTGCCCACGTAAACCCCACATTTTGAAGGTTTCCATCTTCCAAACAAATGTATTTATCAGTCAGTAAATGATTTACATTTCCATGTATTTTGGTTCATCAGTGCTAATCAGACCTTCTGATCTGCTCAAATGCCACTTGGGTCATTTATCATTTCACTTGAAAGCAATGAAATAGTTTCCCTCAGTAAGTACAACCTTATAAAATTACAACCTCTGTAGGAAATACAATGGGGCCTTGACTTAGGAGTGTCCTGACTAACGAGTTTTTTGAGATACCAGCTGTCTCTCCACCGATTTTTTGCATTGAGTTGATAGAGTAATTTGAGTTAACGAGCTCCTTAACGAACTCTGTCTCGTATCGAATTAAACTCGTAAGTCAAGGCCCCACTGTACTGAAAACAGATGAAAGGCCTTCCTTAGTGCCCTGGAGGACACATAAGCATCCTAGAATACCACATGGGGCGCCATTGAAACAGGATTTGGAATAAATAAGAGATTTATTTGAAAATGAAGATGGAGAAGAGATTCTACTGCAAATATACTTGTTAAATGACTAAAAGAATGAAAATCTATGAAATATTTTAAAATATGGTCACTATGGAGAGACCACATGCAATAGATTGCACTTCATATTTTATCAGATAATGCAGCGGTTGCCAACCTTTCGGACCTCATGGACCACCAGTGGTCCGCAGACCACCGGTTGGCAACCGCTGACTGGTAATGCATCACAAACTTACAGTCTTTGCACTTAAAGCTACTGCTCAATGAGCAATAACACCACACTACACTGAGGCTTCACCTCTGTATTTAAAGGTTTTGATTCAGGATCCAGATACCTGAGAAAGGACAGATTCCCCAGGTGCACGTGGCTCATTTGGGGGGCCTTGGGACTCATTGGGGAACTCTGCCAACGAGCCCTGATCTCATCCTGTTTGAGGTCACCGAGAGGCACTTTGTCCCTGTAGCAACAGGTGTTCCTCACCGTGAAGCCATCACGATCGGCGGCCATATGCTGAGCAGTGGCAGGTAACAGGGTGCTTAACCTGGTCGCTGCTCCTGATCTCCTGGATCTCCCAGGAGGTGAGGGCAGGAGGCCAGCCCTGCACAACCTCTTTGTTGCTGCCGGAGGAAGTCATCACGATGCTGCTGTCCTCTCAGGGGTACCGTCAGCTGCCGAGGTGGAGCTGACATCTGAGCGAGGCTCTGGAGGACACAGTCTGTATCTCCATGTGGGTCCTGGGTGACTGCCACCGCCAGCCTCAGCAGATCCCAGAACTCCTCTCAAGTGGGCAGTCAGAGAAGTGAAACATTTGCCTCACCACTGACATCAACACAGTCTCACTCTGGAAATGCAGAAGAACAACATTCAAATCAAACTGAGCCCACTTCGTCCTTTATATGGTAAATAGCCCAGTTTATGGTAGAACAAGCAGATGACATGGGGGAAATAGCATCCTCCCTTTACTGGCCTGGGGAAGTGGAGGAGGAGGAGGCCACAGGGCTCAGGGGAGGCAGGAGAGCAGCAGGACCCAGAGTCCGAGAGCACAGGTTGGCAGCCAGGCCCCGGAC